CAATAATGATTTAACCTTAAATTATGTAAAATTACTACGTGCATATTATGAAAGTATGTTGCACTTTGTCGAAGATCTTATTCGAGGACTAGAGTTCTACAATAATGTTTAAATTATATTTTATTAAACAGTTACATTATAGAGAGTATTAAATTCACTTTGTGATAATTGTTTCAAATTGATTTCTGCTTGTTTCAATTTTGAGATTAATATTTGAATTTGGCATTGTCAATGTTTATTATTAGAATAAAATTATAAAAAGCAATTTTTTATTAATATTTAAATTAAATCAATTTTAATTATGAGTTATGTATATACAAGGTTTTTATAAATAAAAAAATACATAAAATTTATAATATTTTTTTACATTTATTTAACATGAAAATCCTTACATTTTATTTTACAAAAATATTTACAATTCTTCGATTTCTGGGATCCTATAGTGACCCCAGGGTAGAGTATCAGTACTCTCGGTAAGCAAGTACCTTTTATCATCATACGGATTTAATGCTACTTTAACTTGTTTAACTGTTTCTATATTATGTAACCGTGACCTAATGTTGTATTGAGTTCTAGTCTGAATCTTAAAATCACGCAAGCATTCAACGTAATCGTCAAAATGAATAGACTTTTTGACGACTCCCGCTTTAATGCCTTTAGCTTTCTTAACGAAATCTTCACCTTCAACGCGTATGCTATACATTTTACTCCGCAAGCCAACAAATTCAGTAACAATTTTACCATTGCACTCGTCCTTCATTAGGCCGAGAACTTTTTTGTTGACTTGCGGAATAAATACCATACGCATTGTTTACCGGATAGTCAGATGTGTCGAACTTGTGGATGTCTTCTTTCATATCTTTATATATGTCTTGACATTTCACTACGTACACTAGACTGTCAGTGTCTGTATACAACAGTTTACATGCTTCACCATATTTCGGAAGCATGTAACTGTAGTGAAAGTCATAGACAAGCGTTTTCGAGACATCCAACACACTTAAATCCACATAAATCGGTTTATTGAGTAGGACCTCAGTCTTTCATAATTCGATGGCCACAAGGTGTTCATCGAATATTGCACGACTGTGGAAATTGGGCCGAGAGATGAGGGCTTCGGCACCATATCTGCCGAACCAGTGTGTAACCAATTTAATGTTTACATGCTTGCGAACATTTTCCATGGTCTTACCATACACTGCGTTATTCATTAATTTGAATAAATTCTTTTCAAATTCATTTTTTTGCAGTTGTTCGCATGGCAGTATTATAGTCTATATAGGGTTTCAACCATTGTGATTGGTACAATAGCATATATATTTAATACTCTGAACTTTTCACGCATGTGTAGATAGAGACTAACTCTTACTGCGCATGCGCAAAGAGATGAGTCGAGGAAATTTTTTTATTTATTTATTTTTTTTATTTTATTTATTTATTTATTTATTTATTTTTTTTTTAATCCAAAAAGCTATGAAGCCATCGTCGTAGTCACGACCGCCGTCACCCTCACCACCACCGTCCTGGTAGTAAGAATATACCCACCGGTGGGAAGGTGATGGCGGTGGCGATGAGTGTGCCGGTAGTGGAAGCTACGACGATGGCGGCGATGATGGCGGTGGCGATGGTGGCGGCGCCTTGGAATTACCACCACCGGCAACTCCATTTGAGTCACCCAGGAGTTGGGAGACTCTGGAATGGGAGTTCCCCCTTCCCCTGGTGGTGGAGTTTGGAACTAAAAAGAAAAAGAGTTAATTTCAAATTTAAATTTAAAAATTAATTATACTTACTGCCGGTGGTGGCTCCTCATTATCTTCCCCCGCAGACAGCTCATAGAAGCCTTCATCCACTTCTAGACCCCCTTCTGCGGGGGAATTGGGGGGAGTTTCTAGAAGATCATATTCTCTCTAAAAATATATTATATTTTATATTATATTTTATATTATATTTTATATTATATTTTATAATATATTTTATAATATATATATATTTAATGAGTAATTATTATGTACTTACATTTCTCAATCGCTCCTCAATACACTGCCAGCAGTAGCACCTTTCCATTTTAGGACTGCTCTCGTGGCTCATCTAGAACAGATTATGACGATCCACGAGAGCAGTCCGACTCTTATAGGCAGTACCCCACCACTACCGCAGGCACGGAGAGGGGCGCGCCGATGCCGGGTGGGGGATACTACTCGCGCGGCTCCACTAGCGTGGCACCGTACGCAACTAGCTCGCACGCTCGGTCGACCAGTTACCAACTATCGACCGAGCGAGAATTTTACCATGAGGTAAAGAGCGCAGCACTGTTGCGTGGAAATAAATTAAAAATAATATCTAAAAATACAAAGTCGATAAGAAAGGTAAGCGCCACCTATCGGGTAAACTAAGTCGGTCGGTAAAACAGTTTTAATTAAAAAATATTTTTTTAAAAAAAGTTGATAATAAAAGTGAGCGCCATCTATTGGGTGGTCGGTAAACTAATTCAGTAAAAAAGTTTAAAACCACCGACTGAAATGAGCGCCATCTATTGGGTGGTCGGTAAACTAATTCAGTAAAAAAGTTTAAAACGACCGACTGAAGTGAGCGCCATCTATTGGGTGGTCGGTAAACTAATTCAGTAAAAAAGTTTAAAACAATAGACTGAAGTGAGCGCCATCTATTGGGTGGTCGGTAAACTAATTCAGTAAAAAAGTTTAAAACGGCCGACTGAAGTGAGCGCCATCTATTGGGTGGTCGGTAAACTAATTCAGTAAAAAAGTTTAAAACGACCGACTGAAGTGAGCGCCATCTATTGGGTGGTCGGTAAACTAATTCAGTAAAAAAGTTTAAAACAATAGACTGAAGTGAGCGCCATCTATTGGGTGGTCGGTAAACTAATTCTGTAAAAAAGTTTAAAACCACCGACTGAAGTGAGCGCCATCTATTGGGTGGTCGGTAAACTAATTCAGTAAAAAAGTTTAAAACAATAGACTGAAGTGAGCGCCATCTATTGGGTGGTCGGTAAACTAACTTCAATGTTCAATAAAACAGGTTAATTAAAGTCGGCAACACACTCTGAGGTGAGCGCCATCTATTAGGTGGTCGGTAAACTAATTCAGTAAAAAATGTTAAAAACCACCGACTGAAGTGAGCGCCATCTATTGGGTGGCGGGTAAACTAATTCAGTAAAAAAGTTTAAAACCACCGACTGAAGTGAGCGCCATCTATTGGGTGGTCGGTAAACTAACTTCAATGTTCAATAAAACAGGTTAATTAAAGTCGGCAACACACTCTGAAGTGAGCGCCATCTATTGGGTGGTCGGTAAACTAACTTCAATGTTCAATAAAACAGGTTAATTAAAGTCGGCAACACACTCTGAAGTGAGCGCCATCTATTGGGTGGTTGGTAAACTAACTTCAATGTTTAATAAAACAGGTTAATTAAAGTCGGCAACACACTCTGAAGTGAGCGCCATCTATTAGGTGGTCGGTAAACTAACTTCAATGTTCGGTCGGTAAAACAGTTTCCTACCTTATCAGTCGAGTTGAAATTTTTGTCAGATTCCTACCTTACCGACTGCTGATAAAGTAGAAATCTGCATTACCGACCGAGCAGTTACCGACTGCAGGTACTTAGCCGAGATCAGAACCTGGGGTAGAAGCCCCCTTGTTATACTACTTCCACAATTTTGTTAGCACTTTCACGATCTATGCAAGTTACCATAACTCGTGAGAGACCTGTTTTTTCAATATTTTTAATAGAACATCTAAAATTTTTATGTAAAATTTTACCACATTTGAGAGGATGTAAAGCTGAATTATCTTTAGTTTCAACAATTACTTGAAAAGGACCTTTATTATTAGAATTATATTTGTTTTTTAATAATTTATCAAAAGAGGGAAGAGATTTTTCTTTAGAATTATCTGATTTCTTTGCAAAATCATTATTATTATTATTATTTAAATGTGAAGATTTACGTTTATTAGACTTCGAAATAACTTGATTTTGAAAGCCAGAATTAGATAAAATTTGATTTTCTTTATTTAAATTTTCCAAAGATTGATCAATCATGATTGAATCGAGAGGGTCCTCATGAAAATCAGGATCATGATCAAAATGAGATGGATCATCGGTAGCTGACATAATAGTCAGCGGCCCTTAGGCCTCTAATAAATGAAAAGAAAAAACTTACCTTTATCAAAAATCAAAAACGAAATAATAAATATAAAATAAAGAAATAACCTCTTAGAAATAAGTAAAAGGATTAAAAAGGAAAACACCAATCAATTAAATTTCGAAATATTCAAAACGTTAGAAAACGTATAACACTCGTAAAAGATGCGCAGTAGGTCTACACTTGACGACAATCAGAACGAGAATCGATTCCATCTGAATATCAGGTGAGACTCATACAATAATACCTCGCTCACTTAGGATTTTTGCTTGAAAGCGTCTGTTACTATATTCCTAAGGACATGCTCATGCGTAAATCGCACCAGATTTCTCTCCGTGTATCATTTAAAAATTTGTCCCAATAAAAATTCAGTGAATTATAGAATTTCTTTCATTTAAAAAATCAAATAACCTAAAATTTGCTTGAATGAGAATTTTATTAAATTAAAATTCTCTTAAATAAAAAGACATTTAAGTTAAATGATTGTCGAAACGTTAAAAAAGGATTTTAATTTTATTTGGTTGACTTGGAGGATTGATATATTCCTATATATGTATTAATATTTCACCGAGTGATAAATTCTGTTATACTGAAATATACAAACTATTTTTCATTATAAAATAAATTCAAATAATAAATATTTATTATAAAATAGATAATATTATAAATATTTATTATTTGAATATATTTTATAATGAAAAATAGTTTATATATTTCTTTATTTAAAGAATAATTAATTAATAATTAATTTAAAGTAATAACTCAAATATAATATTGCAAACTAAATAGAATTTCCTCTTTCATTAGTTTAATATGTAAATTAAAAAATAATTCACAAAATAGATTTATTTTCACTTTATTTTATTATATTTAAATAATATAAAAATTTAATTATTAACACATCTTTTTATTACATATATACATAATTTATTTGTAAATATAAAAAAAAGATCAAAATCGTCATTCACTTTCGTCATCTTCTTTTGCATCAAAATTTTTCACCTTATTCAAACACATAACACATAGAACACCCCTATGATCGGTACAAACAAATGCAAAACATTTATCACATCTCTCTGATGATTTACGATCCATACTTCTTGGACAATTAAAACATCTTCCTCTTTTTCTTGTCATTAATTGTTTAATTTTTTTCTTCTCAAATATTTCAACTTTTCTCGATATCAAATGTTTAAATCCAATAATTTTAACAGCATTAAAAATTTTTTCATTAGCACTATTATTGGTACAATTTAATCTTTGACTTATGTGACTTTCCACTAATTCTTTTGCAAGATCGAGTAAAAATTTTCTTCTCTCAAATGAATCATTCGCATAATTATAAATTGAATAGGCATTCAATGTGGCAATATCAATGATATTATAAAAAATTGCCAATGGCCAACGTTTGGTATTTTTTTGTACAGTATATTTATCAATCATCATTTCTAATTTATGAAAATTATTCATTGTTTCGTCATAAAATTCGTGTGCTTCATTAATTTCTTCAAATTTAAGTGTAGAAAGAATTATTTTTCCATCATTTTTAATCGATGATGAAGAATAAGAAAATAATGTCGTATCATTAATATGATAGGAAATGGAATTTAATTCTGATGTGAAAAAATCATTTGGTAAATTCTCGTGATACATTGATAAGAATCCAGTTAATCGTAAATTATTTTCTTTCAATTTTTGTGATAGTAAATAACTTGTACAATTAGAATCTGTAAAAATATTTCTCCCCGAACCATTTAAATGTTGAGTGAGATTAATGACAATTTCATCTCGAGATTGTTCATCATTTGGAATTTCCAAATTTGTTATATAATTATTATGAATATCGGCAGCATAAAATATTTCCATTTTTGTCGATTGATTGGAAATCTAAAAATAATGACAAATTATTAATTTGCAATTAGTTAAAATAAATTATTGGAATAAAAAATTATGATTCTCACCAAAGAATTAGGTTTACAATAAACTTTTCGTCCAACAACAACGTCGGATGAACAAATAAAATTTGTTCTACAATTAAGTGAAAATAAATTTAAAAATTCTCTCACAGCTTCAGCTTTATCGCCGGAATTCATTTTTCTTGAAACTCGACTGTCCATATTGTCAAATCGTAAACAACGAATAATTTCTAACATTCGTTTACAAGTCATTGTTGCTATAAAAATGGGAAAACCAAATTCTTGTGACCAAAATTCAGAAAATGGTTTACCAATACATTTCATTACTCCATGAAATATTAATAAACCAAAAAATGCTTCTAATTCAAATTTATCCACTGGTATCCATTGAAAATTTGAATCTTGTTCCATTATATAAATTCCCCTTAAATTTGTATGTTTAATAATAAGTTGAATAATTTCATCATTAATAAATTGACGAAATGCATTTAATTTTGTGTTCATCATTATATTTGGTGGAATTTGTGATTTTAATAATTGTGAAATTTTATTTGATTCCGCCTCTGTTGATGGACCGGGTTGCCATAAAATTTTATTTTCATTACTATTTTCATTTGCTTCATCTGAAAATAAATTTTTGTTTATTAATTTAATTTTTTTTTTTACTTTTTTGTTTTATTATTATTTTAATTAGAATTAAAAATACAAAAAAATATATTTATTTAAATTTAAAACAATAAAACTAATTATACAAATAAAAATTATTCAAATTAATGAAACAGAATTTTTATACCTAATTAAATATAACAGACGTTTCAATATTTTAAATAATTAAATGGTTTTTAAAAACAAATCTAATAAATAATTAAATTTAAATATTGAAATAATTTTTAATCGAATTTCGAAATTCTTTTTTTTTAAATTAATTTTTTATTTTCAATAATAATTGCAGCCCTCAGATCAATTTTAAGGTACAAAAAAAGACGATTTATATTCCACAATTATATTTTAGTACAAATTTCTAAAAAAAATTTCATTTTTATAATTTTTTTGAAGTCTGATTTAAGCAATTTATTCTAATTAAAAATTTTGTCACAGTTTTTATTTTTGATGGTCAAAAAAATTTCAGGCAATACTTAATCAAATTTTACAGATTTTTAAATCAAATTTTTTTTTTTTTAAATAATAATAATTTTGGAAGAGTTAAAGTTGAAATTTTTAAAAATAATTGAATTTCAAAAGATTTTCTTAATTTTTAAACAATAATTAAATTTTACTAAACTAAAAATAATTTATCAACTAATTTTAGATAATATTTTTCAAAAGTAATTGAATTTCAAAAGATTTTCTTAATTTTTAGACAATAATTAAATTTTACTAAACTAAAAATAATTTATCAACTAATTTTAGATAATATTTTTCAAAAGTAATTGAATTTTCAAAGATTTACAATTTTGATTTTTGAAATTGATTGAACTTTTCAAGTGATTTTTAATTAAAATTTTTTTTGATGATTTCACTAAAAAATTTATTAGAAATTGCAAACAAAAATACAATAATTTGAAAACTTTTTAAGCGAAGAATGATTTTAGATAGTTGAATTTTTGAAGAATATTATAAAAATCATTGAAAATAATTGACATTTTTGCAAATAATTAAATTTTAAGTGGTTTTGTATTTAAAAATTTTTTGGTAATTTTATTTACTAATTTTTTTAAAATTATAAACAATTATTAAATTTCATAAAAATTTTAATTGAATAATAGTTTAAGATTAAATTTGAATTTGTGAAGAATTTTAAAATTATTGAAAATAATTAATTTAGTGAAGAATTTTAGTTAAAAATTTGTTAAATAATTGTAAAATAAAGAAGATGTAAAGAAATTGATTGAATCAATAAAAAAAAAAAAATTCAAAATTTTCAAAACTCAATAAAAATTATCAAAAATCATTAAAACTTGCATTTTACTGTTGTATTAATTCAATTTCACTGAAAAATAATTTCCTCTTCAAAAATAATTTATTTTTAATAATTTTCGAAAATTTCGATTTTTTTTTTAAAGTAATAAAAATTATCAAAAATCATTAAAACTCACATTTTCGTGTTATATTAACTCAATTTAATTGAAAAATAATTTCATTTTCAAAAATAATTGTATAGGTACTAAAAAAAGCGTATTTTGTTTAAAAAATTTTTTTTTTTAATTTAAAAAAAATGTCGAAATATTCGCATTATATTAAAATAAGTCGAAGGAAGTCGTACTTTTGAAAAAAAAACAGTCGGAAAATGTCGTATAATCCGATGGCCTTTTTTTTAAATTTAAATATAAAATAAATAGAATGAATATAACCTCAAAATAGAAATTTAAATTTTTAAAAATATATTTTTTTCTACCTGTAAATGAATTTGTTGATTCATTATTTATAAATAGTTGACAATTTTGATTTTTCTCATTGTAGAAATTATTTTCAAAAACATTTTCCTCTTTTATTTCAATATTTTCGATATCCTCCTCCAATAATAAATCTTCCAAAGCTTGGGAAAAGCGTTTTTTAGTTTCTTCATCATTCATTATTATTATTATTATTGTATTTTTATTTAGAACAGAATAAAAAATTATTTTACATATTTTTGTTTTTAATTACTAATTTTTATATTATATATTTATTTTAAATAGAAAAAAAATATATATATATATATAAATTTGTAGTGTAAAAACAATGTGCATAGCAGACGACAAATCGAAAGTTGTCAGTTGTCAAATCGCATATGGACTCTTTATATAGCCAAATAAAAAAAAATATTTTTCCCTAGAAATATTACTAGACAGCAAAATTTTAAATACATAAATGTTATATTTTTTTTTTAACTGGAAAATAAAAAATTATTTAATATAAGCAAACAATGTAGATATTTTTTAAATATTTTAGAAATATTTCATTGAATTATTGAATTTTATATGCTTCAAATTATCTTCAAACTAAATTTTGATAATTTTATGAACAAATTCAACATTTTAACTTGGTAATAAAATTTTATTTTAAAGATATTTTGAAGTAGATAACTTGGTGAGTAAATTTACCCACAATGAGCAAAATAACCCCGTCTTAGGGTAATCTTTATTCTGTTATTAATTATTTATTAATTATTATTATCATTATTATTATCTACCACAGGGAGAGGAAATTTCGTTTTTTTTTTTAAATTTTTTTTAGCACTTTAAAAAAAATGAAAACAAATTTTGTAATCGTAAAATAAATCTTTAATTTCATTTCAGTCACAGCTGTCAATTATTATTATTATTTAACTTACGTATATTTACATTAATTATTGTTATTGATTTCTTCTCACAGACAATAATTTCATATATATATATAATATTCAATACATTATATATAAACAGACTTTGTACATAGTAACATAAAATAGTCCAACAAAAAATTTTTTTTTCGCTATAATTTTGGTTTATCAATTTTCAAAATATATCAGCAAAAATTCTAAATTTTTAATTTCAAATATCAAGATTAATCGAAAAAGATAGTTTTCAATTGTTGTTCACATAGTCTCTTAACTTCATCTGAAAAATATGTAGAAAAAAAAAAACAATTAAATTAACTAAATTTATTTCAATTGAGAATTTATTGTAATAGAATTAATTTCAAAATAAAATTATTTTAATTTATTTATTTCAAATTATTTATTTTAAATTAATAATTTCAAAATAATTTAATAAAAAAATGTAACTAATTATAAATTTCTAAAAAAAAAAGAAATTACCATCAATTTCAATGATACTGGCATTCTTCTGCTGAAGAACGACATAAAATTCTCTTAAATTTGAAACTTTTCCTACAATCCAATAATCGCTCATTGTTTTTATAACAACTTCTCCAGTTTCATTTATTCTGCAAAATAAATAATAATTTAATAAATAATTTGAAAAAAAAAATTTTAAATAGCATATTTATTTTGTTTTGCTATTTATTTACCTGTTGGCGTCACTATTAATATCCGTTATTATCCTCAATACTTCAGGTGTTGTTAAAACATTTGAACAACGACGATTATCAAAATGAATTGTACTTTTATATGCTAAATTAAGTTTATTAAAATATAAATATTTTGGATTTGATTCTGAATTAATTGCCACATGTTTTGCACATTGATCAGCGACAGAACTAACTAATGTTGTTAATTGTGGTCCCAAAAATGCATCTAAACTTTTATAAAATTCAGGAAGTGGACTTGTTTTACTGTCCACAAATAAACAAACAGTTGCACTTAATGCACGATAAACAATTAAATACAACGAAATTGGTTTCGTTGAATAATTAATAAAGACCTTTGGCAATTTTTTCACATCATTAACACTCGATGGTCCCGTTACAAATCTAATAAAAAAAAAAAAATGGTATTTTATGAGAAAATTTTTCATTTTTTTATTATTAATAAATGGTAAAAATAAATTAAAAATATAATAATAATAATTATTATTATTATTATTTTTATTGTACTAACTTTCCATAATGAGCGGCTGTAAATGCAGAAGAAGAATTTCTCGGTATTGAACCACCTTCCAATTCCTTTTCGAGATAAGCGGGCAATAATGTACTTACTAAATAATTATAAACAACTTGCATGTCATCAGGTTCGAGTCCACTCCTAATTCAAAAAAAAAAAGAAATAATATTGTATTTTATTTTTCAAAAAATTTTGAAAAATAAATTGTTAATATAATTTTGAATTTGGCTAACCAGACAAGTTGATCATTATACAAAAAAGCAGTGTATTTAACTAGAGGGAATGTTGCTTCCAATAAATTCATGAAACACTGAACTCGCAAAAATGTCGCTTTATCCAGTGGAAGAAATTGAAGTCCTTGAAAAATATCGAGAATATCGCTATTGTTCAATTTCAAGGACAATAAATACTGAAAAGAATGGGGAAAAAAATATAGTTTCAATTTTTTTTTCATTTAGAAATAAGAAAAAAATTTCAAACAAAAATTAAATATTCTAATAATAAGATTTAAAAGTATAAAATGACGTTTATTTTTATATTTCAAATTCTCTTCGATTTAATTTAATTTCATTAAATTGTTAAACACTGAAGATAAATAATTTTCCTCTTTTCTATAATTTTAAAAAATTCATTAAATTTACAGGCCTTGGATTATACGAATTTTTCCAACTTTTTTTCGACTTATTTTAATAAAATTCGACTTTTTTAATTACATTTTTTTTTTACAAAATTTTTAAACCAAATACGTTTTTTTTAATTCAGATCTTCAGATCTTCATTATTTTTCAATTATTTAACAAATTTTTAACTAAAATTCTTTACTAAATTAATTATTTTTAATAATTTTAAAATTCTTCACAAATTCAAATGATAATTTGGCTATTTGGCAACTATTTTTCAATTTAAATTTTTATGAAATTTAATAATTGTTTATCATTGAAAAAAAAATTAGCAAATAAAATTAACAAAAATTTTCAATTCAAAATCACTTGGAATTAAATTATTTGTAAAAATTTCAATTATTTTTAATGATTTTTTTATAATATTTTTCGAAAATTAAATTATCTAAAAGCATTATTCAATTAAAAACTTTTGGAATTTAATTTTTGTATATGATTTCTAATAAATTCTTCATCAATAGAAATCACTAGAAATTTCTCATATTATAATTATTATTTGAAATTTAACACAATCTTTTGAAATTTAATTATTTTCAAAAATTTCAATTTAAAAGCTTTTAAAATTTAATTATTTCTAAAATTTTCCATCTAAAATTTTTTCAAATTAATAATTTCAATTATAACTCAAAATTAAATTATTTTGAATGATTTTTATAATATTCTTCGAAAATTCAACTATCTGTAATCATTTTTCGCTTAAAAAGTTTTCAAATTATTGTATTTTTGTCTGCAATTTCTAATAAATTTTTTAGTGAAATCATCAAAAAAAATTTTAATTAAAAATCACTTGAAGTTCAATCAATTTCAAAAATCAAAATTGTAAATCTTTGAAAATTCAATTACTTTTGAAAAATATTATCTAAAATTAGTTGATAAATTATTTTTAGTTCAGTAAAATTTAATTATTGTTTAAAAATTAAGAAAATCTTTCGAAATTCAATTATTTTTAAAAATTTCAACTTTAACGCTTCCAAAATTATTATTATTTAAAAAAAAATTTTATTTAAAAATCTGTAAAATTTGATTAAGTATTGCCTGAAATTTTTTTGACCATCAAAACTAAAAACTGTGACAAAATTTTTAATTCGAATAAATTGCTTAAATCAGACTTCAAAAAATTATAAAAATGAAATTTTTTTTAGAAATTTGTACTAAAATATAATTGTGGAATATAAATCGACTTTTTTTGTACCTTAAAGTTGATCTGAGGGCTGCAATTATTATTAAAAATAAAAAATTAATTTAAAAAAAAGAATTTCGAAATTCGATTAAAAATTATTTCAATATTTAAATTTAATTATTTATTAGATTTGTTTTTAAAAACCATTTAATTGTTTAAAATATTGAAATGTCTGTTTTATTTAATAAGGTATAAAAATTCTGTTTCATTAATTTGAATAATTTTTATTTTTATAATTAGTTTTATTGTTTTAAATTTAAATAAATATATTTTTTTGTATTTTTAATTCTAATTAAAATAATAATAAAACAAAAAAGTAAAAAAAAATTAAATTAATAAACAAAAATTTATTTTCAGATCTCAAAATAAGTTGATAAATTATTTTTAGTTCAGTAAAATTTAATTATTGTCTAAAAATTAAGAAAATCTTTTGAAATTCAATTATTTTAAAAAAATTTAACTTCAACTCTTTCAAAATTATTATTTAAAAAAAAAATTTTTATTTAAAAATCTGTAAAACTTGATTAAGTATTGTCTGAAATTTTTTTGACTATCAAAACTAAAAACTGTGACAAAATTTTTAATTCGAATAAATTGCTTAAATCAAACTTGAAAAAATTATAAAAATGGAACTTTAAGAATTTTTTTTAGTTATTTGTACTACTTAAATAAAATTTTGAAAATTTATCTTACAATTAGTTCGATTTTGAATTATTCGAAATAAATTTTCTTGATAATATTTTTATAGAATTATTCTTATTACAGAATTAATAAAATGAATTTATTATCTAATAACATTAGTTTTGTAAAGTAAAATATTTATTAACCAATTAAATTTTGTTAAAATAAAAAAATCGAATTTTTCAACTTTTTTTTGGAATATAAATCGACTAAAACGACTTTTTTGTGCCATAAAGTCGATCCGAGGCCTGAATTTACTAAATTTATAACATTACTAAATTAATAAATTTGTTTTCTCACCCATGAATAAAAATGATCGAGCTTGTGTTTTAAAAGAATCACAGAACCACAATCGGGTTCATTTAATATTGTCTCAAATGAACCCATAAAAAGACGAAATATTGTATAAGTTTGTTTGAGAATTGCTTGACAAACGCTACTTGAAACTTCATCGTATTGATATTCTGGATATTTGTTTCCATCTTTTTCTTTCATTATGAAAGGCACACCCACAATCTGTCAATTGAAAATTTTCTTTTACTTCTGTTATTATGATGACAAAAAAATACCTCTCTTTAAATAGGTGAAAAAAAGAGTGTTTAAAAAAAAATTACTCCTCTTCAGAAGACAATAATTTAAAAAGAATTAGTATTTGTAATTTGTAATTTTTTATCGATATACGAAATAAAAAAAACATTTTTCCTTACTTCTTTTTATACGGAAAAAAATTATCCTAAAGAAAAATAATTTTTTTTAGTATTTTAGTGCAGCAGCTGCCTAAAACGAAAAATTTCTATATTCAATTAACTTCATACTTAATATTTGCCATGAGTTTTTTTTATATGAGTGAAGTTAATTGAATATAGAAATTTTTCGTTTGCGGCAGATGGAGTACAAAAATTTTAAAAATATCACATGAAGTGGTTCCTAAAATTTTTTTTTGAATTCCAAAAAAATGAATTAAGCGAAAAAAAAGCAGCAACACATACCATCACCATCCAAAATTCAGGCTCTGGCTGATAATAAACTTGTCGTGTTTTTTGTGTATGACAAAAATCGCATTTTTGTCCAGGATTAAATGATCTGTAAATTACAAATATTAAAAAATACAAAAAAGTTGATACACTATCGATAAAAATAGTGCGAACACTATTTTTGATCCAAAAGAAGTGATTTTTCCAATATTTTATTTAGATATTTGTTTTTCTTAAAGAGTATCATTTTTAACTATTTCATAAAAATTTGAATTACTTAAAAAATTAATATTATAATTATAAGTAAATTAATTTAATTAAATTTAAAAAAAAATTTTAACTAAAAAAAATTTAATTAAATTAAAATAATTTTCTATATTATGTATCTTGGAAATTTAAATTGCTTGCAATGATAAGTACTTACTCGGTAAATTTAATAATTGCCTCGCTAAGACCTATATTTTTTATTTGCGTATCAATATCCGTTTTTGGTGGATGATAATACAAAATTTTGTTCTTCTCCTAAAAAAAAATTTCATTAATTTAGTAAAAAAAAAAAAAAAAAAAAAAATGCGCACGTCCCTTTTTAAAAATTAAATTTAAATTCGTAAATTTTATTTGTTCAACAAAAATTATGTTTGAAAAATAAGATTTCTTGTATTCAAAACAGAATTTTACAGAAAAATTAAATAAACTGATTAAATTTTCCAAATTAGAAAAATTTAACAAGAATTAAATTTGAAAAATAAAGAAATTAATTATATTAAAACAATAGAATGTTGGAAATTGTTAACAGGATGGTTTTGAGCTTACCTCTCCTTCTTTTTCAGCGTATGTACTATTAAAAACATAAAAATGTTGTAAAGTTACTTCAGACTCAGACATTTTATTTCAAAGGTTAGATTTCTATATTGCAATGGAAACAAAGAAATTCATTGGATCTAAAATTCTTTTATTTCAAATTTTAAACACAGAACAAAATTTTCTTCTTTTCTTCCTTTAATTTTTGATAGAGATTTCTTTGAAAATTTTAATTTGGAAAATTCAAAAACCAAATATAAATTTCAGAGATATATCAACACAACAATTATTTATTCTCATATATTTCATCAATCTTGAATGACTTTTACTAGGAACTTTTACTACGGTAAGGTTAGGTTATACTTGGAATAAAAAATAACCGCCAAATTTCATTCTAAAATTATTTTTATAATTTTAATATATATGTAAATGTATTTGTCAATTAATGTTTTTTAAATAATACTTACAAATTATTAATTTTCCATTATTTATTTTTTATATTATAAAGAATTAAAAATTTGGTAAAAATTTTAATTTAATTCACTTTTTAATTAAAAAATTTCTTTTTAAATAACAAAATTTTAAAAGAAACAAAGACTTTATTATTTTAATAAACCAAAAAAAAAAGTAAAGTATTTATTTTTCATAAATGATATAATTTATTCTATATATTACATGTATTTTACATCACTGTAAAAAGAATAAGTTCCACGGAGTTTCGAAAAAGGAAAAACAAAAATGGTTCCTTTTTTTCATTCATTAAAAAAATATTGATTTCCTAAAGTTTTTGACTTTTACAAATAACATTTTTTTGGGGGGGAGAAAAGAGAATCGTTTCTCGAAACAAAAAAAAAAAAAACAAAATTCAATGTTTTATTTTTCAGAAAAAATTTAATTATTATCCTATTTGGGAAAAAAACTTGTTTTTAAAAAAAAAAACTAACAATATTTTTTTTTTATAACATATTTTGATGAAATCACGATTCATTTTTCTCCATTTACTAAATTTTTGTTTTACCCGTACATTTTTTTGTAAAATAAAAAATAATCTAAATTTTTTTTTCTATAGAACAGCCGCAAAAAGCGAGAAAACATGAATTATGAATAATGAACTATGTATATATATAGATTTTTATATCGAGATAATAATTTTTACCGAATTACAAGTCTTAATACTAATTTTTATATATATATATTTTTTTTTTTAATTTTTGGTGCAGAAGCTCTATATTTCTAAAGCAATACGCTTCATAACTACTTATAATTAATAATTGTACTAAAAATCGTTCTCTTAATAAATTATAACAGAAAGAAAGTGTCTATGAGAGAGAAACAAAGAGTGTTATTTATTTTGGCCTATAAAACACTCTTTTTTAAACTCTCAATTTTTATTTTTCAATAAAAAATTTCACACATAAAAGTAAATAAAAAAATTCTCTATTTATATATAAGACAAATCGACGCACCACTTGTAAATAATCACAATTTATAAATACTTTATCATCTGAAAAATTTCTCAATTCATTTTCATTTATTATTTCACAAAATTCGCGGAAAATTGACTAGAAAACTAATAAACAAAGTTTATTTAATAAATAATAGCAAACAATTGCTTTTAACAAACAATAATTTCAACAAAACAAAAAAAAATTGATTAATAAAAGATTTCATCACAGAATTTATAGGAAAATTGTTCCTAAAAAATTTTACTCGATTAATAAAAAACTGCAAAAAGAAATTTTAATGAGAGAAATTTCAGACATGAGGGAATTTTTTTTTATAATTGTCTAGATATTTTTTTTTTTGCAATAAATAACGCGTCTACTTCTATAGCCCAGCTGTACAACAATAAACAATTTTTTTTTCCCCCTACAAAAACAAAAAATATAACAGTCGCACCATTTTTACAAAAATTCAACAAAATAAATAATACATGGAATATTCTCTTTTTTTACAGTGACAAGATAGAATTTTAACTATTTAGATTTATTTTTACTTCTTTGATTCTTTTCTTTTTGAGAAATAAATTCAAAAATTTTGTCAAAATATCAATATCTCGTCACTTTTTTTTCTATAATTTTCACAACCAACAAAAATATAAATGCTCTCTTTAAATAACGGATTACAGTAACATAAATATATTTAAATAAAAATTGTCCCATTCTGAATTTTTCAAACCAATAAATGATACTTAAAACTCTGAAAGAAGAGAAATTAAATTTGTTTTCTTTTTTAAAAGCAGACTATAATAAGTATCATAGAATTTGAACACTTGGTACATTTTTTTTTCCCCCCTTCCTTTCTTATTGTTGTTGAAGTTGCTGCAAAAGGGGACAAACCTCAACAAGTGGCGTTCCTAAAATTTCTTGACAAACTTGATTCATGTCTGGTTCCATCATTAGCGATGAGATTTGATCCTCTGTCAGCATTTCCACGCTAAATAAACATAATTAATTAAAAATTACTGAGACTTAGATTAAAAAAATTTTAAGAAAAATAAAAGTGCGGCATAAATTACCTCGCTAAACTTTCGCTATCTGAAATTTCTTCATCAGCATTGAGGTAGCTCATGGTTTTCTCCAATGGACTTGGAACTTTCTTTCCTTTTGGTTCAGCTTTTTCCGATCTATCCTTGTCCATTACTTTTGGTTCACTAGAACGTCTGTCAGTAAGGCTGGAAATGTTCAACATCATCATTCCATGATTTAACAGTTCCTTGACTTTTTCTCCCGTTCCTGTATTCCAGAGCATATCTAGTGACTGACGACGACTAGAATTTGCTGTAAATTAAAAAGAAATGCTAATTCACAAAATTAAAACATAAAACTGTTTCTTAACACGAAATTAGTCTAAAACATTAAAAAAAAAGACTTCTAATTCCTGGATCTTATTTCTTATTTTTAAAGCGGTTTTAATTGTGATTTTACATTTTTCGTGGCGTCTTATTTTTGATTACATTTATTAGTTTTGTATAATCCAACTAATTTCGGATTGGACTGGATTTATTCCGGATTACACAAATTGGGAAAATTTCGGATTTAGCTGGACTAATTCCAGATGACCAAAAATCTGACAATAAACCAGATTGTTTTGGATTAATTTCAGATTAGGGAATGGAATTTTTGCCAGAAGGGACAACGCGCTTAGGGTTCAAAAAATCAATTTTTTGTTGTTTGCCTAAGTAGTCTAAATTCTATAGTTGCCTGACATTCTTTCTGATGATCTGTATCTCGCCACCGCTTAAATTCCGTGACTAGACATTTGTCAGAGACACCAACAGATCCGATAAATTGTTCCCCAGCTTCTATTTTGGCTAGTTCATCCGCTATGTTGTTAACTTTAATTCCTCTATATTAAACTACCGTTTAATAACATTACTAAGTGCAATTTCTAAAGTCTTTGAGAGTATTGGTTTTTGATATGATTTATGAGCATGTTGAACATTTGATAATTGACGAACAACATATGGATTCATGAGACGTAGACTAACTTTGTATTTTTGTATCATCAAATCTCGAAAAGGGAATACAAGTCGATGCAATTTACACTGACTTTGCAAAAGTCTTTGAATAAGGTTGACCATGTAATTCTGGTGGCGAAGCTTAAAGCTTTAGGTTTCTCTCGTGATTTTAATTTTTAATTTAAATACTCACCGGAACTACTTCCACTAGCTTCATCGGCAACGGAACTTCTTGATATCCAATTAGCAATTCGATTATCGACTTTACTTCTACTCTTCATAGATGGACTTCTGGTGACTTCGGCCTTTCTCTCATCACTTAGGGATACCTCATGCGTGTTTGGCATTGAGGGAAGTGATTTTTGTGTGACTAATTTATTTCTTCTTTTCTCACCAGTTCGCTCCATTGTCTCTCCATCGGGACTCAAGTCCACAGGAAGTCTTTTATATGGAATTTGTTCCTCTTCATCCGAGAAGGCTTCATTGTAGAAATTCTCCTCTGGCGAATTATTTAAACTTATTTCAGTCCATTCCTCTCCATTCTCTGAATTCAATTCCTTTTTCGGTGATGAAATTTTCACTTTCTTCTCGAGAGGGGAAATTACTTTTGTCACTTCCACATGACGAGCATTATTTTCATTTTGCATTTGAAATATATGTTTTGCATCAGTCGTTGCAATACTTCGGGGACGATCTCGTTTTATGTAACGTCTTGGTTCGGTTGATGAGAGACTCAAATTACAGAGGCCCAAATATTCCGACGATGTGTCCCTTTCAATCTGAAATAATTGAAATTAATTGATAAAAATGGTGAATGAAAAAAATTTTTTTGGGAAAGAAAGGAGAATTAATTACTTTTGTTGGAAGAGTATATGAAGACTGGGAAGTGATCTTGTCAGGTAGACGAAGATATTCATCGCTCGTGTAATCTGTACTATCAGGTGAGCCAGTAAAACTGGAATCCGTTGGTGTATTTGTTTGATTAACAGAATTTTCCTGTGACTCCGTTTGCTTGCCATCGTCGTATTTTCTCGTCTGAAAGAAAAAAAAAAAAAAAAAGCTGCCTTAGGAGACATTACTAAAATGGATTTGAATTATTAATTTCACATACTCTATGAATCTCGTCGCTTATTCTCTCCAAATTTCTAAGAGCATCCGCGTACGTCATTTTTGCCTCGCCCACCGATCTTTCCAATACGCTGACTCTAGTTTTTTGCTCCTCTAGCATTTGATTAAAGTGAGCTTTCATTTCGTAGTATCGTCTAAGGAAAAATGTTCCCAAACATGAAAATTTATCACCAAATTTTATCCATTTAAAATTGAAACTTTCCTTTTTTTTATTTTTTTATTACTATTTTCATTGGAAAAATTTTCAATTTAAAATAATATATGACTCGTATTTTTGATTTTTGAAACTATTATTTACAACTTACTTTAACAATTTTTTGTCTCGACGTAGATTAAAAGAACTAGTCTAAAAAACAGTCATCAACATTCTGTCTTTTAGGAGGGGAAAAAAAAGCTATTTATATAGGGGGAAAATATAAAAATGTGATTGGAAAAGAAAACTGAAAAATTCATGCTTGTAAAAATAATAAAAATCTATCCTCTACTTACAAGATGATCAAGTTGTGCCTGTAGGCGATACTGTTTATCAGAAGCAAGCTGCGGCGTGCACCCATACTGCCAACATGAACACAATCGGAAAAAACTTTACTAACTACTCGAAAGAACTTTGGAAAAAAAAAAAAATTCTAAAAAAGAAACTTTATTTTCTTTTGGTGCTTTAGAAATTAAAAAAAAAAAAAACATTTACGACTTTCTAGCTATATTTTATGATTCTAATTTAAAAAAAAAAAAAAAATCTTGAATTAAGAAAAGAGAGATAACTTTTTCCCAATAAGAAAAAAAGTGTGTGCTCGAAAAAAAGTATTTGGTAATTTTTTTTCTCGTATTTTTTAAACAAGCGGATTGGAACATCGATCATGCATAAAAAAAAATTGTATTAAAGGAAACATCGAGAAGATAAAAAGATTTTTCATTGAATCGTACCTAGATTTTGCAATTGCACGTCTTAATTCACGTTGAAGACGTTGAACTTCATGTTCAGCATTATGGTACAATGCAGTTGTTCTGCGGTGTTCAGCTTCTGAAATTGCTCTCTCGTGCTCCGATTCATTAACTCTGAACGTTGCATGATTTAACATTTCCTAAAATTATTTTTCAAAATTAATAAATAATTATTTATTTAAGTGGCTATACCAGTGTGACACTTTCAACAAAATCGATTCTATTACATTTTTCAAAAGTTTACATCTTCAAAAATATCATATTAATCTCCCAAAAGACTGAATCTCAAATAGTTTTGAATTGGCAGCCAAAATCGAGCATTTGCAATTAATACAACAAAAATATAAAATATTTAAATTTACAAATCACAAATTTATTATTGAGCTTTTAAATTCAAATTTTTGAATATAATTAAATTTCAATTGAAATTTTGGATAATTGAATTTTAGTTGATTTTTGATTGAAAATTTTAATGATTAATTTTGAATTAAAATTTTTGAGCATAATTGAATTTTAGTTGATTTTTAATTGAAAATTTTAATAATAATTAATTTTGAATTGAAATTTTTGATAATAATTGAATTTTAAAAGATTTTAAATTGAAAATTTTGAAAATAACTGAATTTTAAAAGATTTTGAATTGAAATTTTGGAAATAACTGAATTTTAATAGATTTTGAATTGAAAATTTTGAAAATAATTGAATTTTAAAAGATTTTAAATTGAAAATTTTGAAAATAACTGAATTTTAAAAGATTTTGAATTGAAATTTTAGAAAATAATTGAAGAATTTATCAAAAGTAATTACAAAAATTGAACTTAAAAATCTTTTTAATTGCAAAATTAGCGTTATACTAATGTATCATTTAAGTTTGTTAATCTTTTCTAAAGGGTTCTTTATTTTAAAGACCCGTATGTAAATAAATAAATAAATAAATAAAATGATTTTAAATAATTGAATTTTCGAAGAATATTATAAAAATAGTTAAAAATAATTGAATTTCAGGTGGATTTTAGAAATAATTAAATTTTAGAAGCTTTTAAATTCAAATTTTTGAATATAATTAAATTTCAATTGAAATTTTGAATAATAATTGAAATTTAGTTGATTTTTTATTAAAAATTTTAATAATAATTAATTTTGAATTGAAATTTTTGAGAATAATTGAATTTTAGTTGATTTTAAATTGAAAATTTGGAAAATAATTGAATTTTGAAAGATTTTGAATTGAAAATTTTGAAAATAACTGAATTTTCTTTGATTTTGAATTGAAATTTTTGAAAATAATTGAAATTTAGTTGATTTTGAATTGAAATTTTTGAAAATAATTGAACTTCAGTTGATTGTGAATTGATTTGTGATTTTGAATTAAAATATTTTGGTAATTTTTTTTGATTTTTAATTTTAAACTATTGTTAAATTTCAGAAAATTTTTTAATTGAAAAATAATTTGAAATAATTGAATTTGTGATGAATTTCATTAAAATTATTAAAAATAATTAATTTAGTGAAGAATTTTAGTTAAAAATTTGTTAATTAATTGAAATAAAGAAGTTCTGAAGATCTGCATTTTATACTAAAAAAAAAACGTATTTTATTTAAAAAAAATTTTTTTAAATGTAAAAAAAAGTAGAAAAATTCGCATTTTATAAAAATAAGTCGAAAAAAGTCGTATTTTTGAAAAAAAAGTCGGAAGTAGTCGAAAAAGTCGTATAATCCAAGGCCTGATTATATTCAATTGTATGTTTATTCACTAAAGAGTCGAGGTTTTTGTTTTTCATGTTCATCAATTCTTTTTTTCAAAGTACGTTACGATTCACCAATATACGTAGCTGGTCAGTCATTACAATTGAATTTATAAATAATATTAGTCCAATCAAACTTTCTCGTCAAGTCCTTATCCAATTTTATTACAGAACTTAAGCTTTTTTCCACAATAGGAATTGATAGTAAATTATATATTTTTTTAAAAATATTAAATAATTGATAATAAATATCATTGAAAGGAATACAGACTTTAGGTAGATGTTGATAAATACTAACGACATTATTAGTTTGTTTTTTATCAATTGTTTTTTGAATTAATGAATGTTTTCGGTTTTTAATATTTTTTTTATATAAATTCTAAAGGGTAATCGTTGTTTTGCAAAATTTTTAAAATTCGTTTAATATTTTCATTATGAAAGGAATTATAAGACAATAATATAGTTCTATTATATAAATTGTAAACGTTTTTCTTTTGTTGAATTGGATGACATGAAAAATAATTTATTAATCTATTCGAAGAAATGGATTTTTGATACCAATTAGTGATAAGTTGATCATTGTCTTTTTTATTAATATCATATTTAAGAAGTTTATTTTTTTGTCCACTTCTAGTTCATAAGTGAATTTCAAATTAATCTTTTATTTTTTTGTATAATTTGTTTCTTAGTGATCTCATTAGCTCTAGAAAATTTACCAAATAAATAAATTAATTAAAAAGAGAAATAAAAAATTATATTTTCACCTGCCATGCATGATCAAAACATCGTCCCTCAGTCTTGAGGCCTTCTTCGGCCAAATAAACCATTTCTTTAGCTGCTGCGTGTTGACTATTTGCTCTTTCAAATCTCATTGCTGCTCTTTGTGTTTCCGACAAGGCCTAGAAAATATTTATTTTTATTTATATATATATAAATAAAAAAATTATGTAAATTATTACATTACAAAAAAATTTTATTTCTTTACCTCTTTGGCTTTGAATCTGGCATCGTAATAGGGTCTCGATTTTTCTATACAGTCACCTAATTTTTTCGTGAGGACATCAATTTTTAATGTCGACTCACACAATAATTCTCGAAATGTCGCACGCGCCTCCTAAAGCAGAAAAAGAATTTCAAATTTTTTCTTTATTCAATTAGAATAAATATCTAAAAAAAAATTAATATATAAAAATTAGTTTCTGTTATTTAAAATTCAAATAATTTAAATTTGAAATTTTATATTTGTATTTTAATGTGAATTAAATATTTTTAAATAATAAATAATATATTATGTACATTAACTTACGTCCAAATCAACTTCCAGTTTATTAATATCATCTGTGGCTGTATTGAGTCTTTCAAGTTCGATCTGAAATTTAAAAAAATAATTTATAAAAAAAAGGTAATTTTCATTTTATGAAAAATAAATTATACCCCCGCAAAACTACCATAAAATAAATAAAATTTAGTAATTATAATTTTTATTTTACAAAATTTTGTTAAATAGAAGTTTCCTTCAGACGAATTTTCATTTCTTCGAATTCGCATTTGATAGAATTTATAATTCGATGAATTCACATATAAAATTTTTACTTTGCCGAATTTTTATTCTATAGAATTTTTTTTTTGGTATAATTCTTTATTGATAAATTTCTATATTTAATAGAATTTTTTTATAATAAAAAAATTTTTAAATACAATTTTCATTTGAAAGAATTGCAATTTAACTGAATTGCGATTGAACCAAAATTTTAAATATCAATTTCGGTTTTTCCGAAAATTCATATGTCCGAATTGTAATTTTTATTTGTCAAAACAAACATCCAGTAGAAAGATTTTAGCGCGAATTTTGTTTTTATTTAAAAAAAAAAAATATATTAAAATAAATCTGGAATAGTAAAATAAAATATAGAATTTGAAAATTTAATTGTCTTGCTTTTTTTGCGATTGATTAATTTTTAAATTCGCGCCAAAATGTTTTTATTATTTATTTGGACAAATAAAAATTCGAATAAATGAATAATCAATTAAATGTAAATTAAATTTAAATTCTGACTTTTAAAAAATTCATCCAACTTTGAAATTTTAAATAAGAATTCTAAATAAAAAATTTGGCAAAAAAAAAATTTTTTTTTTTTCAATCAAAATTCGACAAAGTATTAAAAATTTTGTTAAATTAAAAATTTAGTCAACTAAAAGAAAATTGAAAAAACCATTTAATATATAAATTTTTATAAAAAATTTCAATTTGCAGAAAAAATTTAATGGGGGGAGGGTAGAAAATTTTTTTTTAATTAATTATTTTTTGAAATCTCATCTTTCTGAAGAAGTAAAAAAAGAAAATATACAATTGGGGGTTCAATTTGAAAATTGAGACATATTTTTAAAAAAAAGTTAAAAAAATTTGTTTTAAATGAAAATTTCTAAGGTTTTTCAATATATTTATTTATTATTAATTTTGTTTAAATAATTTAAAATTTTAGGGATCTGTTACTTTTATATAGAACAACAATTTACCAATGTTTCAAATCAATTTGAGAGCTTTTATCATTTTTCCTAGAATTTTGATAAATCTCTCTTCGTAATAAATAAAAAATACAATCGATTTTTATTGCTGATAAAATTAAGTAAAAAAATTTTTTTTTTTTACTAAAAATGGAAGACAAAAAAAAAAAACACTTGTAAAAATTAAATATTCAATGACATATACATATATGTGTATGTATATGTATGTATGTATATATATTGACAAAATAAGAGTTGAAGGCAGAATAAATGACAGGTGTGGGTGGTGAGAAAATGAATTATAAGTAAATTGAGTGACAATTACCTGCACTCTTGGATCAACTGCATCTTCATTAATATCGGAATTTTCAGAACGTTCTTTTTGCACTCTTTCACTCATAATTAAAGTTAAAAATTATGTTTATTTACAAGTTTTGACATGCCACCTGAATCGTCTGCTACATTTCAGGTGGCCATGTTGGAACGTAAAGACCTGTGACGTCCAGGGCTGTATTCTTACTTTTCGGTCAAGGGCACTTCAGTTTTCCTCTTGCAAATCAATTTCATAATATTCCGGTCAAGAAAATTCTATATCCTCCGTTCAACTAAATTTATAAATCTTACCAATATTTCAATTTTTTTTTTTATTGTAAAATAGATTTTAAAAATTTTAAGTTTAAACAAAAAAAAAAACACTAAAAAAGAATAGAGTATGTGTATCAATTACTGCGAGTGCATCAATTACGGCGCGTTCATGAAAAATAACTATTATTACTATTATATTTAATATAACTGTTGCAAAATGATTTTAAAAAAATTATTTTAATCTTTTTTTTGATACAATTACACGGAAAGAAAAGAAAAAGTAATTTTTACTAGGTTTCAGATTAAAACGGGAACTGTCCGAAGTTTCTGCGCATCTCTGGTAACTTTTATTACTCCAGAAATTGTACAATTGACTATTTCTGTAATAAATTTTATACTGTTTTCCGTAGTAATTTTTACGACTTCTATAGCTGGAGAAAAATTTTACTATTTTTGAAGTAAAAGTTGACAGAGATGCGCAGAATAACTTCGGACAGTTCTCGTTTTACTCCGAAAGTAGTAAAAATTACTTTTTCTTTTTTTTTCCGTGTATACTAATAAAGATGCATATTTAAACAATTATTAATTTAATTATTTGAAATCAAATTTTTTCCCTCGGCGTAATTGAAACATTTTTAAGATTTCCATTGGCTCCAATTACGGTGGGCAAAGTATCTTCAAAATTCAAGTAATTTTGGTCACCGTAATTGATATAAACCCGCCGTAATAGAAAATTACGGTATTAGTTTTAATTTCTCATATTTGTTTAAATAATCGATTTTTATAAAGTTGAAATTTTTTTTTATTATCTAAGTAACATAAGTTTTTAGTTTAATAAATCTTAAATTGATTTTCTACAATAGAAATGTCGAATTTTTTATTTCAAAGGTGTTTTGATTCGAATCGCACCGTAATTAGTGCATTTACCCTAGAACAAAATTTTTCCAAAATTGTTAGAATTTGTTTCAAAATTAAATTTTTCTAAAAGAATTTTTAGTTTTTTTTTTAGAAATTTAGAAAAAAAAACCCTTGGAACTGAGGAACAATTTTTAAATTTTATTAACTTAAAAATTTTTATGTACTTCGAATAATTTTGCGGAATTCTGGTTAGAAAATAAGCAAAAATTCTCCTAAATTTTATTACATTTTTATTTGATCGAATTACACGAAGAAAAATAAAAAAATGAATAAAGTAATTTTTACTATACTTTAAAAGTAAAACCTGAACTGTCCGCAGTTTCTGCGAATTTCTAACAATTTTTACTTCAGAAATAGTAAAATTTACTATTTTCGAAATAATTATTACTATATTTCAGGAGTAAATTTTACTATTATTGGAGTAAATTTTACTATTTCTGAAGTAAAAATTTCCAGAAATACGCAGAAACTGCGAGGACAGTACATGTTTTACTTTTAAAGTAGTAAAAATTGCTTTATTCGTTTTTCCATTTTTCTTCGTGCAACAATGTGAAATCATTAAATACACACTTTTGATAAGAGAATATTTATCATGTCATTAAAACTAAACATGAAATCTATTTGTATAATACATAGACAAATTTTTTTTAAAAAAAGTAGTCAGTACTTTTGTGGAAGTGTTAAAATGTTCAACAACGTTCAGAAAAATTTTATGAAGTAAGCTATGTATTTATTTATATTAGTTTATGTAACTGGCCAGAAATATTATAGTTTATATTATATTTTTTATATTATATATTATATATTACATATTAGTTTATAAAAAATTAAAAATCGAAGGAAACTTGAAACCCTCTTGTCTACAAAAGATTTTCTACGAAAAAAAATATATTTAACCGAATTAAAGAAGTCGACTTAATTCTAACATGGAATTAACATTTGAGGAATTCCATATGTTTTAAATATTTGCTATTAAATTATTTAAGACTTAATTTAGAATAATATGGAACAAAAAATAAAAACAATATGTATATAACGTAGTTAAAAATGCTATTAAATAGAATTTTCGGGAACTAAATAAAATATTAAATTACAAAATATACGAAACTTATTTTAATTGCCGACGCAATTTAAAAAAGTTGTATAATGTATTTTTTCATGCAAATTAAGCTAAAGATATGCGTTCTAAAATGAAATTCTTATTTTAAAAAGAAACACCAGATGGAGAGGAGCACTAGATTTAAAACTAGGACTAACAACATTATGCTTTGCACTCCTTATAAATCAATCAGCAGCAGTATTTTTCAATATTAGTAAGTTTATTCCAAAATAAAATTTTTTCATAGATTTTTTTCCATATTATATATTCAAAAAGTTAATTGAAAGTAAAAATTGATTTAAAGTCAACTTTAGATATCAAAATCACAAATAATAAAAATAATATCCAAAGAAGCACGTAATATAACCTCAATATCAAGGTAATATTACATGTAAGATTCGTAATATAACGTTATAATATTACAGTAATCTTACAGTGATCTTAAAATGTCCGCCTCAAGGTAATATTACCGGTAATGTTACTGTAATATTACGCGCTAATATTAAGGTAATATTACAGTAATATTGCAGTAATATTATACCGTAATATTAAGGTAATATTACAAGAGAATATTACAGTAATATTATGGGAACATTTCTTTACGAAAAAAATCTACCCATCCAGGGAACCGAACCCCGAACTCAAAGCACACGAGTCCAGAGTTTTACCAACAAGCCAAATTGACTTATAACATATTTACGTTTTTTATGCTTTATGAATAACTCAAATCAGTTTGTAATATTACTATAATATTACTGTAATATTACCGTTAATATTACAGTAATATTCCCGGTAATATTACCTTGAGGCGGACATTTTAAGATCACTGTAAGATTACTGTAATATTACAGCGTTATATTACGAATCTCACGTGTAATATTACATTGATATTGAGGATATATTACGTGCTTCTTGGGATTTAAGTGCAAAATAAAATTGTTATTAAACTTATGATAAAAAATAATTCCAAAAGCATCATCGGATAAAAGAGACGACTACTGTATGAAACGTGAATGCAATGACACAGGTTGGTACAATTTTCTTAATTGTTAAATAGGATTTTTTCATTATATTGTTATTGCAACATTAAAAAATTTTAATTCACAAAAAAATTTCTTTATATATAGCTTTAAGAGTATTGAAGTACATGGACACAAGTTTTGACCCTTGTGACAATTTTTATAAATTTGCCTGCGGTAATTTTCCAAAAACGATTTCAAATTACCAATCGGATCGAATCGATAGTTTTACTATTATTGAGAATAAAATTAAACAAGAAATGAAGACAATTCTAGAGCAGAAGTATGATCCCGCTGAAACAAACTATGCAAGATTAATAAAAACTTTTTATCAAAATTGCATGAATGCAAGTAAGACATTTTTGTAAAAATCTGTTTAGAATTTAAAATTTAATTTTGCGAACTTGTACAAAAAGAAAAATTGACAAACGGTTTCTTATTTTAACAGTAGATTCTTGAAATTTTATGTATTTTTATAATCAATTACCAATTTGTCAAATTATTTTTAATTTTTTAATGCAGATGACATTAAAAAAGAGAATTTAAATTTAATTTTGGAATTGTTACAAAGAATTGGTGGATGGCCACTTTTAAAAGGGAATTCTTGGAATAATGTAAGTTTCCAATGGGAAAAATTTGGCTCCCAAACGGAAATTTTCAAAAATTATTTCATTTCTTCAAGTTTTCGTTTAGATACAAAAAATAGTTCAAATGTAGTCCTACAAGTACGTAAAGTGATTATTTGTTTTTTTTTTACAAAAAATTGAGTCTTAAGTTTTTTTCTAATTTAAGTATCAATTTTAGATTGAACAACCATCAAATCTTGATGAATTCATTTACTATTCTGATTTAATAGCTAGCACTGTACAACTTTTTGGAAATAACGAAAATTACATTCAAAATGATATAAATGAAATTATTAAAGTAGAAAAAATGCTTATTAATGTAAGTAGTAAAAAATAATTGTTAAATTGATTAAAAAAAGATTTCTTTTTAAGATAAATTATTATCAGTTTGAAATTACGTTTCAAAATAAGTAAAAAAAAATTTTAACTAATTAATAAAATTTTGATTCTCTCACTCGGTAGTATTTAATAATATAAGAAGATGATATCGATCATTCCGAGTCAAGGATTAAATAAAAACATTATTCTTTACGTTTCAATGGCACAGCCATCCTCTTCAGAAACTGAAAGTTTATTACAAAATATCAAAAAAATTTTTTTATAAAATTTTAAACTAATTATTTACAGATAACTATACCAGAGAGGGACAGAAGTGATTATCCTATTAGAATGACTATTAAAGAACTCAATGGAAATTATTCCAATATTTTGTGGAAAGAATACATTGATTCTATTTTAAACCCAGTTACTAATAGTAGAGATGATGATATTATATTGGTTATGGATCTAAATTACTTTCAACAATTGAACAATCTAATTAATCAGATCTCAAAAAAAGATCAAGCAAATTATCTTATATGGAAAGCAATTAGCGGTTTTCTCAATAATTATATCACTAACGAAGACAATTCGCAAAAATGGAAACATTGTTACAATATTGTAAATGAATTTTTCTCTAATAGTTTTGGAATGCTCTATGTCAAATACTACTTCAATTTATCAGAATCTGGTAAAAAAGCTATCGACGAAATATTCGAAAATATTTTTCAGCAGTTCAATACTCTTCTAAATAAAGTAAGAAATTAGAAATTAGAATATTATTTTTCTTCGCTATACAAATTTTTTGCCTATACTGTATTTTTTCTTGAAAAATTTTTCTGTATTGGAACAAGAAGTGAACTTTGTTTATGCTATTAACAAACAAAAAACATCATTATTTTACAATTATTGATGAATTATTAATTATTGTAAAATCAATCAGTTTCAAAAATATTCATTTAGTAAATCTATATTTAGAGTGATTGGCTGGATGATAAAACGAAGGAAAAGGCTTTAGAGAAACTTGCATCATTATCTATAATAAATCCAGTAATTTTCAAATTATTCGACGACAAGGAAATTGATGAATATTACACAAATTTGGAAATAACGCCAAACAATTATCTTCAATCAATAATTAACATTCAAAAGTTCATTAAATATAAAGATGCAGATTTATTTAGAAAATCTTTGAATAAAAATAGCTGGGATCAACATTACAATCCAATGGAAGTGGGGGCATTGTTCACTTCTTTTAATAATAGTATTGGTTTGTATCGATAGTTTACATATATACACGAATTCTGAATTATTCTGGACTCATTTTGAATTGTTTTTTCATCTAATTAAAATCAAATTGTTGCGCGAATTTGATGAAAAATTAAATTGAAAATTGCTAATTTATTTCATGCCAATTTTGAACTATTCCGGACTGATCTGCCTGTATTTAATCTGAAATCAATACGAAATTTTAACCAGGGGGTCAATTACGTAACTTTTTCCGGATCCCACATTTCACATTCCGGATTCCATATTCCGCTTTCCACATTCCGGATTTGACTTTAACAATTCTGTATTCCGAATTCCACTTTCCATATTCCGGATACAACATTCCGTATTCCACTTTTCAAATCCCGTATTCAGGATTCCATTTTTCACATTCCGTATTCCGAATTCCACATTCCGGATCTCACTTTCGAAATTCCGTGTTTCAGATTCCACATTCCGTATTCTACTTTCAAAATTCCGTATTTCACATTCCATATTCCGGATTCCACTTTTCACATTCCGGGTTCCAAATTCCGGATCCCACTTTTCACATTCCGTATTCCGGATTCAACATTTCGGAATCCACATTCCGATTTACACATTCCGGATTCTACATTTCACATTCCGGATACCACTTTTAAAATTCTGTATGCCGGATTCTATATTTCACATTCCGTATTCCACATTACAGATTCCACATTGCGTATTCCGGATTCCACTTTCAGAATGTGGGATGTGAAATCTGGTATTTTGAAAGTGGAATCCGAAATGTAAAATCCGGAATGTGAAAAAAGAAATCCGGAATAAAAGTGGGATCCGGAATATGAAATGTGGAATCTGAAATACGGAATTTTGAAAGTGGCATCTGGAATGTGGAATTCGAAATACGGAATGTGAAAAGTGGAATACGGAATATGGAATACGGCATTTGAAAAGTGGAATACGGAATGTGGAATCCGAAATGTGAAAAGTGGAATCCGGAATATGAAATAGGGAATTTTTAAAGTAGGATCCGGAATGTGGAATACGAAATTATTAATTTTTTTTATTAATAATTAATTAATTTGACTTTAATTATCATTATTTATGTTTCATTTAGCTATATCACCTGGTATTTTGCAAGGAGTTTTCTTCAAAGAAAACATACCTCAATACATGAATTATGGATCAATTGGAATTGTAATTGGCCACGAATTGACTCATGGTTTTGACAGTTTTGGTGCAAGTTTTGATAAACAGGGAAATCTTGTCAATTGGTGGGAGCCGGAAAGTAGTGAAAAATTTCATTCAAGAGTTCAATGCTTTATTAATCAATATGAAAACTATATATTAAAAGACGTTGACTTGAAATTAAATTTAAAAAAATTGATAGGATTTCCGAATTCTTTTGAATTTCGTCCAAAACTTATAAAGGTTTTTAAAAATTAATTTTGAATTTTTTTTTTATCTAACATATTAGATTATAGATGAAAAATTATAATAATTAATATTATAAATAACCGTTTAAAATCATTTACCAATATTTGTAGGAAATTTATTTTTGTAATATTTTCCAGGTGAATGGCACGACGACGGCAGATGAAAATATTGCAGATAATGGTGGAATTAAAATTGCATATTTTGCTTATCAGAATTATGTGAAAAAACATGGTCCCGAAGCTTTGCTGCCTGGTGTGAATTATACACAATCTCAGCTTTTTTGGATCAGTGTTGCCCAAACTTGGTGCGAGAAAATTACTCTAGATGAACAGAGGGACAGAATTAACAACGATTATCATAGTCCTCCGGAATTTCGAGTTCTGGGTTCCCTAGTGAATCGAAAAGAATTTGCAAAAGATTTCCAGTGTGCAAACAATATGCGCATGAATCCTAAAAAGAAATGCTCCGTTTGGTAATTCCTTCTAACTGTATCCATTTAACTACCCAACTATGAGATATAATTATGGTTTTGTTCACACTCGCCATTTGTCATAATTCTCGTCAACTACCGCACCCTGCTCTAGTGAAAATTTAGTGACTTTATTGTTAAAATTAGAAGGTACAAAATTTTCACTAGAGCAGAGTGCGGTAGTTGACGAGAATTATGACAAATGGCGAGTGGGAGCAATGGGAACCAATTTTTTTTTCAATATAAATAGGAATTACAATTACTATTTTTTATAATCTATTTAAAATAAACATTTATTTGAAAATATATTATTGACTCTACGTGACTGTGTCGAATACAATAATTTCCAGAATTACTGATATGTCTTTTGAAAACACATGAGAAACGTGCGAAATTCAAAAGACTCCACATTCTTCAAAATCTCTATTCAGATTGTGATTACTAACTGTTCTCACGTTGGCGAATAAGATAAGATTTTTGTATCACGAAACACCCACTCTCACATATATATATATATATAAAGTCACTGACTTCGCGCGCAGTTCCTTTTCACTTCCCATTACACTCTCCAAACATAAATATTTAATACCACACCAAATATATACTCTAGTCTCTGGGTCAAGCGTGACTATAATCTATACGTTTGCACTCCATAAGTAAATGTGAAAATAATTTATTAAAAGTAATTTACTTTTATTACTTTATTTGAAAATATAAATTAAAATTTGTATACAGTGTGTGAAAAACGATTTTTAATTTTCTCTTTTGATTAAATAAAATTAAAAAAAAAATTAATATTTTTTATTATATCGCTGGTCATTTATCTTTATGAATTATGAGTAAAAGTTCAATTAAATTTTTCATATCTATTTGTAAAATAAATCATTTCAAATAAGCGCGCGCTTTTTTTTTACCAATGAAACGACTTCTGGCAAGTTTCGTTTAAATCGGGAAACCCCCGTTAATGAGAAAGAGAAATTAAATTTTTTTTTTTTTTTGATATGAAAACTAATAATAATACCGTGTTTATTATAATTATTATATTATTACTATCCAATATAGTAATTAAATGAAAAAAAATTAAAAAAATAATTTTTATATAACTATATAAATAATTTAATTTTAAAGTTAATAAACTTTTTTATTATTATATATATATATATATTAATTATAAGAAAGTTAAAACAAGTTAATTTTTTTTTTTAATTAGATACATTAATAAAATAAATACATGGATACATACATTGAGTTAAGTTTTCAAAAAGTTTCCAATTATTTCGTTTCAATAGGGTTCATTGACTAATATTAAAAATACAGAACTATTAAATAATGACTCCCAATAATTTTTTTTTCAAAGAATGGAATTTAAAAAAACTCGAATAATAAAAAAAAAGAGAACGGCAGGTGAAAAAAGACATTTTCAAGGTGAAAACAACTAAGTATCGGTATTAAAAGAGCGTGTGTTAAATAATAATAATTGAAATTTAAAGCAGCGACCCCGTTTTCAAAATCTCCCGTCATCAGTCGTAATCGAGACAACGATTTTCATTTCTACGACCTGTTTAATAATATATATCTGTATATATATATATATATATATCGTTGTAAAAACGTCACCGAAATAAATTGCATTCACATCGCGTAGATTTATTTGTTCCTTCACTGTCATTATCATTTACTATCTGACGACGAGTTTGCTTTTGCATTCACACATATATATTGCTTTCACTTCCTTCTACATCGTATACAGTGATAAAGGTTTTTCAAAGACGCGGCAAGTGTTTTTTAGTCGCGCGCATGCAGAATTAACACGACATGTTCTGAAATAATTATTTTCGAACAATAAAATTGTCAACACAACCCATACATTATATATGTTAAATAAATAAACCTTATTTATTTAATTTTGTATTGACACGTTCAAAAGCTAAATAAAGTTATCAGGAGCGGGACTCTTATATTTTATATATTATTTATTGTTATTAATAATCTACATTAAAATTTGATTCAATTTAATAATTAATTTTAAATTATAATCTAATTATGTGCTTCAATATTATTCTTTTCTTTTAGATTATTATTATAAATAATAGTAATAATAATAATAGTAATATATTAATAATTATTATACATAATTACAATAAATTATTTTTTAAATAAAAAAAATCTTAATTAATGAAAATTTAATTACTAAAATACTACTATGATATTTTAAAGCTAGAAATAAATTATTTATATATTTTTGAATATCATGTAACTTAATGACTATTGAAAAGAAATAATAACATAATTGGCATTATTAATAATTTTTAATATTTAATAATTATTTTAAATTTAGAATAATAGAAGGAAAAAATTATTGAAAAGTGAATTTATTATCTATCTTAATTTAATATTTCATTATCTATTTTTATTAAAAATTATATTAATTTATAACATAAATGTCATTATATTACTTAAAATAATAGCTGCAAATAAGCTTCGAATTAAATTTCCATTCGCAAAAATACCATACAGAAAAAAGCTTAAACACAACATTATTCAATGATAGAAAATCTATTTTACTTTGATTCTTATATTTTCCTTAATATTTATATGCGAATATATTTTTGAAATTTATTTACGTAATATTTTGACAGCGAAATTAAATTACATTCATTAAATTAAAAAGAAATAAAAGAAAAATTATTTTCTATAACCTACAAAATTTTCTAATGCATATATGCATTAAGATATGCATGAATTTAAAAAAAATTTCGAATTCTAAAATTGCTACTTATCGACGATTATTATCAATTTTGTCATTTTTTGATTTTAATCATATACATTTACTTTTTGAACTTCGCTGGTATTTATTTAGGAAGATCGCTTTGTAAAAGCTTAAGATTTACGATTAGAGATGACTTTTTGACTTTGAAAACCATATTTATTTATCATTGAAAGTTGTACATTAAAGTTATACAAAAATTTCTTAATTCTAAGATATATATTCAGCGTCTATTATTTTAAGTAACTTATCTGAATGTTTCTTTATTACGATTAGAGATTTCACTCTGCTTAGGCCTATATACGGAAAAAAATGTACATGACCACTTAAAAGGTGGGGGAAGGTATACACAGTGAGGATACATCGTAGATGGCGCAACATACTAAAAAGTGTTTAACTGTTCATACAAGTGAATCTTTTGCAATTTTGATCTAAATTCCATTTAATATTTATTTAAATTCAATATTTCCTAATATTAAAAATAAAATTAATATAATTTTAATTCAAATTGTTTTTTTTACAGTTTTCTGTATTATATTGTTTTCAGTGATTTGCCACATTTCCTAAGAAGCTTACTGGCTAATTGCGGTTATTCAAACTGAAGCAAAAAACAGGAAATATTAATTGAAATAAAATTGTAATTTTTCAATTTCTATTGGTCTATTTAAATCTTATATGTAATTTTGAAAAGTACATGAAAATTTTTTTTTCCTTATATTTAGTTTTATTATTAATAGTAATTGACATAAGCCGCTATTTTGATTAATGCAACACACAGTAGCTTTTTAATAACTAATCATATATGGTCTTTTTAACGGTAAAGTGAAATTTTTGTCGACACCCGTTATATTAAAATCAGCAACACTTGCCGTATGGTGTTCTTGTACTAACATATATAAACATAAGTGATCACTCCGTGATGCATATAAAGGCTTTTTGATGTCGTTTGTTTTTACTTATACAAAATTATATAGCAACTAGAAAAAACAAATATTTAATTCAAAGAAACCTTTTTTTAATTAAAAAAAATTTTTATATTTAATTCAAAAAATGTTTTCTTTGTTTTAGAAAAAAAATCTTTTTTCTGAATGTATGTTTATAAATAAAGTTGTTCCCATGCTAGATTGAATTCTCGTTAACATTGATAAATTGTATATTCAAGAAATTATATTGATGTGTTAAATGATTGGGTGAACCTGCTCCAAACAAAAGCGAATAATCGTTGAATGTTGAAATAAATAAAAAGGACAATATATAAACGCCTACCTAAGGCTTATTGTTATGATTCGATATCAAAAAGTAACGGGATAATAAAGACCCATGTACATGAGTATGCAAAAGGTCTACGTTAGAAAGTAATTGGTATATTCTCCAACATTCCAGAAGCACGAGAAAGCGCAGTAGCAGGGAATCAATTTTTTTTCTTTGTAATATCTATTTTATATTATTAGAACTAGTTTTAATTTAGACAATATATTTTATTGAATCTTCCTTTCTAAACATTTGAATTCCATAAATTTTTATAATGTCGTCATTATAAGATATTTCGATATTTCTAAACATTTAATTGATCTGTATATCTTAACTACCTTTTTGTCCAATTCGTATTAAAATAAAATTGTCTCCTTTTCTGCAATTGTAAATTAAATGTGAAAATACTCTTCTGATTCCAAAATTTTTTATTTTTAAAATTTTAATATTTATTATATACAAGAACTTTATTGTTGAATTGATAAAAATTATTGTTGAGTCATAAAGTTTGGACTTCTTCTTCTTTTTATATATATGTATCACCCGATAAATGAAGCCAAGACCGCAATAAAGAGAATATCCATATCAGGTAAGACAAGACCCGCAGACCCTGAAATAAAAACTTCATGTAGGCTCTTAACTGTAAAATATATATGTATATTCTAAAATATGAAATTACAGTTCATGTAATAGCCTGCAAAAGTCTATTTTTAGATGCCTTTTTTGAATATATATTTTCTAATTTGAAAATATTTTAAAAATTTCAAAATGGCGGATTCAAAATGGAGAATTTTTTTAGTCATCGGATTTGCTTCATTGTTAAGAGGAGATTCTTTAGGTATATCTCTGATTACGAATTTGGCATCAGTTTTTCAAAATTCAAAATGGCGACATTTTTAAAAAAAAATTTTTAAACAAAAAAAGAAGGTATAAATATTAATACACTAAAGTTTTCAAATTGCATTACGTGAAAATGTTTAAAAACAATGTATATTGCCAATATGTTCATTAGATGCAGATGTACTTTAGATTAAATTATATACAAGTCGCGTCTTGAATCTTTTTCAATTATTCTTGTAATTCACTTCCGCAATCCTTATTATTCGTCTCTTATTCATATGTAAAATTCATTAAAATATGCAGTGCGAAGTTTATAATCGATTTATAAATATAATTTTTATAAAAAAACAGTCAATTTTTTGTTTATAAAATTAAAGTAAAAATATTTCTTAAACTTTTTTTTAATTTAAATATTTTTTCATTGTAAATTCTGAAAGTAATGTCAAAA